AGGAAGAGCCGAACAGAAACCCAACTGGCCATGACTCACGTGGTGGTGTCAGAGTGAGGATGAGCTCAAAAAGCTTGGGCACAGGAGCCTGCCTGAGCCCAGAGACCCAAGGCCAAAGACCAGACCGCCAGAGGAGCAGGGTAGGGATAAGATCAGATCACAAGACACTGTGGAAAATAGACATCCATGAGCCCTTACTGACACAGATGTTTAAAACTGTTCTACTAAGTTAATGAAAAGAGGTGAAGGGAGAACTCATCCTTACACAGGCACTCCTTGTTTGATGACCTCCCTGTTTGACTGCTCATGACAAAGACAGACGTGCTGTTCTGACTTATTACCTGCCTTTCAGACTTAGGATCTGCATTCGGACTTATGACACAGGAACGTGAGTGTATGAGTAGCACTGTGGCCTTATGGTGGCTTACTCTACAGTAAGTAGTGTAATTCTGGCTGATTGCACTGCCCAGCACAGTACTGTGGTTTTATGTTCAGTTATACATTACAGTACTGCATGTAAGAGTTACACAAATAAAAGCAAAGTCATCAAGTTGGAGTTTCCTTTGGCCATTTCTTTGTTCTGAATATTGTAATGTATACACTACATACAATTCCTCATTTAGTTTCAGATTCAGTTAATGACCTAGTCTCAGGAACAGAACTCAGTCATTAAACAAGGGGTGTCCATAGTAAACGTCCAATTAATCAGTGTACAAGAAAAGAAGCATAAAGAAAATCACCACTAGGCAAACATAGCAGTAGTAATTTTTGCAGAAGTGCCCTCTGGTGGATGCTAAAATCATGGACAGAAGATGAGGAGAAATGGGATTTGCGTGGTCTTTTTGCATTTTCCCGAAGATATCTGCTAACTTGGAAGGGAATAATAGCAACCTTACAAAGAAGGAAGCCCATGAGAAGTCACCTTCCCTGAGGGATCAAGGTCAACAGCACAGCAGTGCAACATGCTGAGATCCGAGCTGTGCCATGATGCATTAGAACACCCTTTGTCCAGTGGTATCCTCCCAGGCCACAGGGCAGGAAATGTCACACAGCCCAGATGGGTGACACTGAGCAAAGTAACTGACAGGCACTCTTTGAAACTGTCCAGCCTATGAAAGACAAAGGACCGATTGAGAAATTACACATTACAGGAGAGAAAAGACGTCAAATGCAATGTGGGGTCCTGGGTAAGATGCTGAAATATTGATGGAAAATTTAATGGCAATAGAATAAGGTCATTACTTTGCTAATCAAATATTAGCACTCATTTCCTTGGTTCAAGGAATTGTACTGTCATCATATAAGATATTAACATTAGTGGAAATTGAGTGAGGAATGTATGGAAACTCTGCATTGTTTAGACTTTTCTTCAAACCTAAAATTAGTTCAAAATAAAAAGGGTTTTTAAAAAAGTCCAAGCACCATTGAGTGGGTAGCAGGAATGAATTACTCTGTGTTCACTGAAGGGTCAGTACTGCCTTGTTCATTTCAAAGTGTAGGTGGAAAACTTGCCTTTGAACCATGGCGTCTGAAAGAACAAGTTTCCCATGCATAGTCAGGGAGCTGAGTTGAGAGAAGCCGAACCCTCTGAACTCTCCCGTTTCCTTTTCGCAGCCACACTGCTGCCACCCACCATTTGCCCACTTTCCGCAGACTCCATCAGCCCTGACTCCTATGAAACGCGTTCCAGATGCTGTGTTTTATTAGTCTTCTCGTTTTACAAGAGGTTGAAGGGCTAAACCCCACTTTATGGCTTGCCTCACAGAGTAGTGATGTTTTCTCCTCTGCTGCCAAATCCAAAGAAAGACCCACAAAGTGCAGTTTCCTTCTCATCAGCCCAGGCCAGGGTGAAGGTGATGCCTTGTCGGACAGGGAAGCAGCTACGGGTGCAAGCAGTCTTGAACAGACACCGGGCTCCTGGCCAGGGGCCAATCGGAGAGCATGAGGAGTATATTCTATGAAAATAGGTGTGACCGACTTGTGCATAGATTTCATTTTACAAAGCACTTTCCCCCTTACTGTCTCATCTACTCTAAGGAGCCTTACCAATGGCAAAGTCCTTGAGCCTGTTGTACAGAGAGGAAAACCGAGACCTTGGGGGACAGTGTGCCAGGGCTGCCAGGACAAGGGCCAGCGCACATGGAGCCGGGACCAGCAGCTGTTTTGATACACTCTTGAATTTTTCTAACACAGGCTCTCGTTTTCTTTCCCAAGGGAGTCATCTCACTTTGCTCTGAGATCGAGGTGCCCATGAGTCTGCTCAGTTGGCAGGGGATACTGTCACCAACTGCCCCACCTGGCTTCCTGCTCAGAGGCTGCTGTCCCGGGGCCAAGGTGAGGGGCTGGCCACATGCCAGGGGCACCACACGGGCAGGAGCAGGGAGGAAGGTGCCCACCTGAGCCTTGGCCAAGGAGACACAGACAGGCTGCCTCGCTGAAGTTGCACTGTGCTGCCCTCAGGTGTAAAGATGAATTGAGTCACATTATTACTGTCCACTTGATGTATGTGGCCCCAAAATATGGAGGCTTGGACTCATGTCAGCCCTCCATGCACTGGGACTTCACCCTAGAGAGGGCAAAGGGGTCCTCCAGAGGACGTCCTGAGCCCCCAAGGCACCTCAGCACACTCCAGCCACCTGGGAGAGAGCAGGAGAGGTGGGTGTTGCCCTATCCTACTAGAGAGAGGGGCAGAGCTCCGGTCTGAGAAGAGCAAGTGCTCTATGGGGAGAGAGCTCAGCATGCAGCCATCCACCAGGTCTGTCCTAGCCACAGGCTGTCTCCTCCAAGGCCCCTTTGTCCCCCAGAGAGCTGTGATGATGCTTAAAGGGCACAGTTCACCAAAAACACACCATCTGGGTGTAAGTGTTAGCCTATGCTAATTCTGTTTCCCCAAACTACATAGACTTCCCAGTTCATGATGACTCAGCTTTTAATGATTCCACCCTGCAATAGCACCCAGTGACAGAAACTCGGTGGAAACCACACTTAGGATTTTCAATTCAACTTTTTCCCAGCCTGGTGAGATGTGTACAGATGTTCTCCTGGACTGATGGGTAGGTAGCGGCAGGGACCACAGGGGGAAACAACCGAGATCCCATTGTGCTCTACGCTCCTAGTAGCAAGGGAGAGCAGTAGAGTAGGAGGATTAAACGCATTTTAGCTCATATTTTCAACTTGGGATGGGTTTATCTTCGTAAGTCAAGGAGCTTCTGTTTGTGTGGGTGTCAAGGCCTTTTGCAGGTGCTGGGGGGCTCCGAGATAACACACAAGTGTGCACACACACACATATACACACTTGGTCTTTATTCCTTCCTACTACTAGATTTTAAAATTAAAACTGTGAAAAAATAAAAACTGTAGCTCTCACAGAGCAGCTGGAGGCTAAGGCTGGAGTGTTTGTGTCCCACACAAAGGTCCATGCCGCTGCCCTGACTCAGCACCACCCTCCCCTCCCCAACTTGACAGCACAGACAGAAGCAGCTGTGGGGCAGAACCAGACATGGACCCAGCACAGCACACTTCCTGCTCCTCTCAGCCATCTCCGAAGCCCGTGATCTCCACCTTCACAGGCACTGGCTGCTTCTGGTGTGGACACTCATGATGTCTGATTGAAGGTTTATTCTTGACATAATCAGCTAATGATTCTAATTTCAAAATGTCCATGCAAACAAATTCATACAACACATGAAGAGGAGCACAAGGTGTATTGGAAACTTTTTATTTTGATAACTACTAAACAAAGGTATGTGGTGTGATCAAAAAACACAGTTAAGGGCCAGGGATTTAGCTCAGTGGCACTGCACCTGCCTCGAAAAAGGGTCCTGAGTTCAATCCTCCATAAAGAAAAAAAAAAACAGTTAATGTTTAAAAAATTATTATAGTAAAAAAGAGATCATCATTAATCCCCCCTCAAAATGCCCCCTGTCATTTAGAGCACACTTGTCCCATTATTCTTGCCACTTTCTGCAGCAATTCTGGAAATCTTTTTTTGTGAGTGTCTTTTTGTGGCTGACTCAATGCAAAATGTTTACAGCAATTTCTGTCAAATACAAACACGATACTGTGTTCTCATCCACCTAGATCTGGTATTGTGCAACTGCTGGCTCTTCCCCAAAGTCAAAATAACCATGGACGGCAAATGTTTTGGTTCAAATCAGGACATCAGAGCCTACACAGTATCACAATTGAAGATACTCATGAAAGAGGACTTCCAGAACTGCCTCAGAAAGTGGCAAGGGGAATGGGATGAATTTATTCAATAGAAGGGGGAGTTTTTTGAAGGGGACTAATGGAAAATGTCTTTTATTGTAATAAAAATTTTAAATATGTAAACACCCTATTTTTCATCACCCTTCATATATAAGTACTCTCTCTCCCTAGTGTGCTGATAAGCTAGTTCATAATTATTTAGCGTTGAGGAAAATTATGATACTATGGGATTTCAAAACTTGATATCAGAAACTAAAAGAAATTGCCCATGAAATTAACAAATGCCTGATAGATTTTTAGGTAGAATTCAGTGCTGAGCAGTGAGATAAAATAAGCAGGCTCAACCCTGACAAGAACTATAAAGTGGCACAAGCTATCAAGACAGCAATTTGTCAATATCTCCCCTGCCCCTGCTCTTACTCTGAAGCCAAGTAACTTCCTATTCAGGAAATAGCCTAGCAACATAATGCCAAATATGGGGAAAAGTTCCATATACAATGAGACTCATTACAGAGTTCATGACGACAGTAGAACTTTGGAAAGGACTGAGAAATCACAGGGAAACCAGGAAATACACACAGTAAAACTTTGGGCCTCGAGTAACTTGTTCTGTAAGTTTTTTGCAAGACAATTAAACATTTCTAATAAATTTAACTTGATAAACAAGTGGTGTCTTATAGTATGAGTAATACATGATGCCAAACATCACATGATCACAACTGAGCCAATGGTTCTCTCTCTCTCTCTCTCTCTCTCTCTCTCTCTCTCTCTCTCTCTCTCTCTCTCCTCTGTCTCTGTCTCTCTTTCTCTGCAGGATTGTGAGTGATCCTCTCTTGTCTCTCAACAGCAAGAGGTTGGTTATGGACAAGATCTCATCTCCAGAGGAGGAGGAGAAAAAGGTGGAGGAATCCCTCGCTTCTAATAAGATTAGGAAGATGTATAAAATGTGGGAAACTACAAAATTTTGTGGGAAAGCACCACTTGAGTAAGGCTGTAGCAGTGTGAATGAATCTGTTTAATGACAATGCAAGGTCACATTTTTGAGAAATCTTCAAAAGGAGGCAAAAGCAAGTGTCATTGGACAGGTTCCTTGTTAAAGTTACAGGAAAAGAATACTACACCATTGAGCTGATAGCAGTAATTCCATTAGTGATAGTGAAAAGTCATCCTACACAATAATTCTCCTCTCTCTTGTCTCCCTCACACCAGCCATGAAGGTTTTCAAAGGTAAGTGCAAGTTAGTTTGTTTTTTATATATTCTGTATTTCCTTTATTATTTTATATTATATTACTGTATTGTAATCATTTTTATATGAATATTTTTAGGTTGTTGAATCAATCATCTGAGTTTCCTTTATTTCTTATGGGGAAATGTGCTTTGCTATACAAGTGCTTTGGATTACAAGTGTGTTCCTAGAAAGAATTATGCTTTCAAATCAAGGTTTTACTGTATGTCCAGACGTGACACTGGTAGAAATCATAGTACCTCTGTTTTTAAAGTTTTGAGAAAAAAATTCTGTATTTTGAAACAAAGATCTGAATGAGGGAAACTTTGTGGATATCAACAAACCAATGACTAAAACAGTATTCATGAAGAACAGCAAAGCTAAACGACCAGCACCACTCAACTTCACACTTATGACAGAGCTACAGGAATCAATACAGGATGACAGCAGAGAAATGACCAGTGGAGCCACAGGGCATCAGAAAGAGCCCAGAAACAGCCCATATAGATGCATCAGCTGGGCTCTGAGAAAGGGGCAACAGTGATCCCAGGGATAAGAGTCCCCAACACAGGGAGGTAGGAACTTGGATATCCACATGCAAAAGACAGCAATAAATCCAGGCACAGACCTTGCATACTTCACAGTAACTAACTCAAAATGGCTCAGAGACCTAAATGTAAAATTCAAAACTAAAAGATAAGAGGAGATAGCCCAGGTGATGTTGGGTTTGGCGATGACTTTTCAGATACAACACCAATGGCACAATCCATGAAATAAAATATTGAAAAGTTGGACTTCCTTAAAACTTAAAATCTCTGCTCTGTGAAAGACATGGCTAAGACAATGAAAAGACAATCTGCAGATACAGAGGAAATATTTTCAAAACATTTATCTGGTAAAGGATTGTCGCCCAGAATATACAAAAAATTAGAGTTCACGGGTGAAAAAAAATCTGTAAAGACACCTGACAAAAGAAGATATTCATATGGCACTTATCCTGTGAAATGATGCTCACCAACATATGCCACTAGGAAACTATACATTTAAACAATAATAAGGTGCCACTACTGGTTCATTAGAGTGGATCAAATCCGCAATCCCGACAATCCCAGACATTACCAAAGCTGGACAGCAGGAACTCTGCCCCCTGCTGGTGGGAATACAGCATGGCCCAGACACCAGGAAGACAGCTCAGTATTCTTAGAAAACCCAGGATAGGCAGAGCTATATCATCCAGAAACCACACCCCTCAGTACTTACCCAAAGGAGTTGGAAACTTATGTCCACAAGAATGTTTGTAGTGGTTTTATTCAAAATTGCCAAAAATTGGAAGAAACTAAAACATCCTTCAATGGGTGAATGGCTAATCATTCTACAATATTCTCTGCAATGGATAAAATTTATTTTATACAGTAGATAAAAGATGTGAGCTATCAAACCATGGAATCAGGTGGAGCAGTCCTAAACACACATTGAAAAAGGAAAGAAGCTGAGCTTCTCTGCCCCAGGAACGTGAGATGGTGGTGGGGGAGCTTCCTTCCGGGTGCTGGGACCGGCTCACCTTCTCTCTGAGTCAGCTATGTTGTTTTATATAAAGGGGGAATTATTGACTAAAATCCTATACAAGTAACAGGAAACGTAGAATTTGGCATCTCCTTTTTCTACTACTTGAGTATTATATTCAAAAAAATTTCAGTTAATGCTCCAATTATTATGTTTACTTTGTGAATCAAATATTTAAGGATTAAATGGAGACTAAAATATTTGACCAAGACCACACTATTAATAAATATCACTTTGATAATAAAAAAAGGAAAGAAGTCAATCTGGAAAGGCTTTGCATTATGGTTCCAGGTCTAGAACATTCTGGAAAAGGCAAGGCTATAAAAATGTCATAAAGACCAGTGTCTTCCAGGAGTTGTGAGCCTGGGGAAAGGAGAGAAAAGAAACAATGTAGCACAGGAGATTCTGAGGGCAAAGAACTTATTCTGTGTTACGCTGCAGTGGTGGACACCTGACATGACTGCCACAAAGCATCTGTTGGGACACAGCATGAATGCTAACATAAATGTGAACTTCTATTAATGATAATACAGTAATGCTGGTTCCCCAGCTGTCACAAATGCACCACTCAGATGGCAAATGCTAGTTGTGGGGGAACAGGAGGGTGAGAAATAAGGATATGGGCAATCTTTGTGTTTTGTGCTCAATTTCCCATAAACCTGAAGCTGCTCTTAAAGTCTACTAATATTCGAAAATGAAGGTGACAGAGTCATGCCTGAAGAGGAAACACACAACCAGGTAGAAGCAGATGTTCATCTGCTACCTTGGGAGTGGCTCCAGAGGATGGCTCAGTCACCCCAACCTGCAGGCAGCTCCGGATGCAACCTGAAGAGGTGATGTAACCCCTGGTCCTGAAGGCTGAAAGCCTGGGCTAATGGCAGAACAGTGTGATGTGGGAAGAAACATCACATCCTAGCCGGAAGCAGGGCAGCAGGTGAGGCAGGCTAGCTCTTCCTATAGCAGCCATCTCACAGAACCACCCAGGCCCAGGGGCAGGTACCCTCACCCCTGAAGGCCAGCACCCCAATAACCAAGGTCTGAGTCTGTCATTGTCAAATGTCATGATAGGGACATGAAGGATACAGCTCACACACTGCTGGTGGCCTTCAGAGAGCCAGGTGTGACATCTGGTCACAGTGGGCATGTGACCATTTCCAGGGGAGCTCCATAGCAAGCACAGCAATGTCCAGGGCCACACATTTGTGACATAAAATCTCAGATATAGTTGAGACACCCAATATTGGAAGTTGCTAAATTAAAGAATATTTATAGAATTTAAGCTTTATCACCAGTGGATAAATGGATATATTTCTACTTCGTATTTATAAAGCAACATGCTGAAAGAAATGTATGTATAATACCATTTATATTCAGATCACAGACCCACCAAATATTGCATAGTATTTATGTATACACAATAAATGCAGTAGCAGGGTTAAATATGCACAGAAATGAAAGACATCAGGCCAGGGATTTAGCTCACTGGTGCCACGCCTGCCTCAAAAGTGCAAGGTCCTGAGTTTAATCCCCAGTATGGGGGAAAAAAAGAGAAAGAAATGAAAGCCATCAAATTAATGACAATTGAAGCTGGGAGTGTGGGGTTGGGAAGAAAGGTGTAAGCAGATTCAGTGATTTCTTTAGTTTTTTTAAAGAAAAATATGGCAAAATATGAAGTTTTGATAAAGCTGGGTGGTGGGTATACATGTCCACATTGTGTATTATTTTATAAATTCTCCTGTTACAAATTGTACATTAAAAGAGTGTACCTATCTATCTATACTTATTTACTTGTGTCCCTGGCTCCCATCCTTACTGCAACCCAAATGAGTCTCCAGTACCAGGGATCCACCAGCCAGCAATGCCTGTAACCTGCTGCCAACACTCCCATGCCACCCTCAGGCCCCAGCTACCGCACACGGTCTCTGGACATGGGCGACACACCTTCCCATTGTTCCTGTGTCTCTGAGCATTCCTTCTTTGCCTTCTCTTCTCTTGTTTTGTGTCAAAAGTTTATTTAAGGTGGGGGATTTAGCTCAGCGGTTCCTGGGGCTGCCTGGAAAGCGCAAAGACCTGAGTTCGATCCTTGGTACCAAAAAGAAAAAAAGGTTATTTAAAAGCATATACATAGTTACACAATATGGACAGCGCCACTTTATTCCACCTTTAGTTTCTTTCTCCAAGAATAATGATACTGTGTGTAGCATGGCTTTGTGTCCCTTACACATACTGTGTACAGATGTTTAAAGAATGATGGTTCAGGACTCCCAAGATCAGCAAGGGCTGTATTTATCACAAAACTCCTTCCTGGTGGGAGTCAGGACACATGAAATGCCAACCAGGAAGTGGTTTCCAACTGCTGCTTGTTTGTAAATAATCTAGTTTTTAGGTCCAACACTGTCCCACATGTGTCCCCATTACTAGGAAAAAAAGTGCATAGCAATATCCCTCATGACACAGGCACAAAAGCACTGAACAAAATGTTAGCAAGTCAAATCTAGCAATAGACAAGCTGGTGGGTTTCATCATGGACTACAAGCTTTGTTCAAAACCCAAAAATCAATTCAGCAGATTAATCAACCTAAAAAAAGAAAAATTATATGTTAATCTTATAGATGCAGTAAAGTCATCTGACAAAGTTCAACATCTATTCACAATAAAAACCCTCAGAAAATTACAAATAGAAGAGAATTGACTCTGCTGTTAAAAGATTAACTCCAAAACACCTACAACTACATCAATCTTTTTTTTCTTATAACTATGTTTTTATTCCAAAATGCTTAATATCCAGGTAAAATTATAATAGTTGAGTTCACCACTCCTCTTACAAAGCTAATGTTATTGATCTTCTCTTCTGGGTGTTCAACAACCAAAGTTTAGAGACCAGAACTCAAAAGGTATCTGGGCTAAGATGACAGCCAATATTTTGGTCCTGGCCCTGGCCCTTCAAGGTCAACTACAACAACTACAACAAAAAGATCCATGACATGAGGGAACCTTCTCCAAGATCCTACAACTTTGGTGAGTCATCCAACCTCCTGAGCAGGGAGGTTGCTGAACACCAAAACAGTAAGATCCAAAAAAAGTGTGCCAAAGGAATGTCACCTGGAGGAAAAAAATCTCCCATGCTTTCGCAGAAAGCAACATGGTCAAGCAAGGCCCAGACATATCCTGATGGCTGACACTGACAGAGGAGCTAAGAGGCTCTATGCATGGTTCCAAGACAGTGCCTGCGGAGACTTATTTGACCTTATTAGGAAGAGGTTAATTTTGTTTAATATAGGTCTCACCATAACTTGGTCTTAAACACCCAATAGAAAAGTATAACTGAAGGTAACATTTATTTAAGTTCAACAAAAATTTTGTTATTTTATTGCCAACATGGTTTAAAAAAATTATTAGATTTTAATCCTTTTACAGGCCCAACTAAGAGAAATTATGGCTATTATAGACAGCTAACCCAGTCAAACACACTATAGATCCTTCGAATATATAGGGTCAAGCCATTGTTGGGTATGCTCACTTTTCCCAAAAACACCCTCACATAAAACAAAAGAAAGGGAGATATGTTGGAAGCAATGCTACATAATTTTAGGGAAAAATCATTTGATTAGGCCTAGTTCTCCTGCCTACAGCCCAGCTATGGCATTTCCAGACATGATTCCATTTTGGCCTCAGGTCACAACTGAGACCTCAATGATCTGGTGATGCTGTGATGCGCCAGGGCAAGACCACACCTGCGGGAGACATCCTGGGAGGAACCAAATCTTCACCTGCAGAGTTCCTCATTGATCTAGGAATTCCGCCACTCCCCATTATCTGTTACATTTGTTTCTCCCTATATACTGAATAGAAGGTGCGGCAAGTTTGGGGGCTTTTGTCTCTACTGCCCAGAGCAGCACTGATCAGGCACAAAGCTCAGCTTCTTCTCCAAGTCTCATTTTTTCTACCTTTCCTGTATAATAAATTAATATGCCTTGTTCTGCTATGGCTCGCAGGAGACTAAGACTAAGTGGTCCTAGTAAAGTCCCCTTTCCCTGTTCCCTATATTATGTGACCAGACAAAAGCCAAATGCTGAACCACCAAGTACCTGAGGGACTGTAAGAATCACCACAGTCACACAACATGGTCCCAGACTTCTAACGGGAGAGCTTTTACAAGGACAGCATAAAATACCACACTGAGCTGTACAGGGCAGAGCATTCAGGATGGCTCAGTCAAGCAGCACTTCATGGAAACAACAGCTTTTAAACTCAGCAAAGTCAAAATGGCAAAAAGTACCAAAAGACTTTTAGAGCTAATAAATGAATTCAGCAATGCAACGGAGCATAAAATCAACATCAGTCATTAGCTTTACTATCTGCCAATAATATACTAGCAGCGAAAAAATTCAGGAAAAAAAATTCTGTGGATACAGAAGTTGTACAATGTTAAAAAAAATACTTGCATTCAAGAAAGTAGTTGTACTGCACCATGATAAGAGCATGCATTTTGGCTTCAGTCAGATCTTAGCTTGAGTTTTTTGGTTTGTTTGTTTTTTTGTTTTGGTACCAGGGATCAAACTCGGGTCCTTGGGACTTGCCGGGCAGGCGCAGGCTGCGCAACAACTGAGCTAAATCACTGGCCAGCTTGAGTTTTGATTGTGCCATTTATCATTGGTTGTGTGACTTGGTCAGGTTGAGCTTATTAGACATCAATCTTAATTTTTAGTGAATTAGTGCTTTCCCACCAAGATTGAAAACCATACAAATATGTGTGCCTTCATCCTTTCATTAAACATGGTATTAAAATCATAGCAAGTCTGAGGAGATAGGAGGAAAGAAGGAAGCAAGGAAGAAAGAAGAGAGGGAAAGAGAGAGGGGGAAGGAAAGAGGGAGGGAAGGAGGGAGGAAGGGAAAGAGGGAGGAAGGGAAGGGGCACATAAACCTGAAAGGAAGAGGTAGAACTGTCTCTGTTTACATTTGATCTTAGCCAAAAGGCTGAGAAGCGATTAGAACTGTCTCTGTTTGAAGATGGCATGATTGTTTATGTAGAGCATCCCAACAAATGTACAAAAAAGCTACCAAATATAATAAGTTTCACAGGACCATAGATACAAGGTCAGTATATAAAAACCAATTATATTTTTATGTACTGGTAATAAACAGTTGGAAATTAAAAATTTGAAAGACAATGAAATATACAAGAGCATAAATATGAATTATGTAGGAATAAATTTAACAAAATACAAACACAACATTTACACTGAAAAGGAGGAAACACTGTTGAAAGAGTTAAAGACCTACATAAATGAGGAGAGATAGCTGCCCAAGGAGCCAGAAACTCAATATTGATGTCAATTTAACCCAACTCCACTTTACCCCAATAAACTATTACGTAGAAGTTGACAAATAGCTTATAAAATGTATGTGGAAACGCAAAATAGAATGATGTGGAAACATCAAAAGAAATCTTGACAAAGAAAAATTAGAAACCTAATGTTGAAAATTAAATATGCCATATCCTGCTGAACTAGAGCTTCAGTGGGGTCCACTAATAGATGTACTCATGTACATATATACACACACACTTACACACATGCATAATGCACACTTGTGTACATACATACACAGAGACATGCATACACACGTATGCATAATACACACATCACATACATGGATGCATCATGTACATCCACCTATGTTATATACATGCTGTCATAATATTTACATTATATGCATACTACATGCATGCATACATACATTGTATGCACACCTGCATATTTGCATATAACATCAATATATTCACACACACATGTGCACACACCCAGCAGCCTGCCCTTTGTTCTATTACCCGAGTGGCCTCCTTTCTCCAGTTACCAAGTGCTCCCTTAGAGGTAGGGGCTAAAGAGTTACTAAATTATATTCTCCAAAGTATTCACTTGTAACTCAAAGACCAAAAGGTAAATTAAGAAACCAAAATGATAAGTATGTAAAAGTAAATGACAAGAAAAGGTGTTATTTTACACAGAGCTTGGTATTCTTCCTTTCTTACCTACAATTTAAACCAAATTTGCTCCTAAGCATAGCCAAATTGCAGAATGAGCCAGGAAATAGAACATTAGAATCCAAAATGCTTCCAGCAGTTGCAATGGCCCAACTGTCAGCTTATTAACTTAGCTCTAATTTTATTTCCTAATGTTTACTTTACCAGGCCTAAGAATTTTTAGTTATGAAAATGAAGAAATTTCACAGGCATCTTCCATTTTAAAGTATGTACATTTTGTGGCTAGTTGATGTTTTTGAAGAGAAAATAAGATTTTAAAATAGTAGCATGTAACCCAATATGCTCACCTTCTCTTTCTTTATCTCAAGGCAAATTAAACTATAGCAACCTAGCAGAAAGGCAGAGGAAACGAGGAACCCACTTCTCAAAAGTGCTCATTCTTCCACCAAGTTGGTAATGGTTCCACGTCCTACCAAGGGAAGGGGCTGGTGCACAGAAAAACACGGACCAAGTGTGCTGATGGGAGTTACTACATACATTATTTACAATCTGGAGCACTGTTCTTTCATGGCTCTAGCTTATGACCAAACCTTGTATCTGTCATTGTATAAGATTCATCCTTAGCCAAGAGTGATGGTATCTGTCTACCCTTACACTTGGGAGGCTATCTCAAGAGGATTGAGAGTTACATAGCATTTATTAGTCAGATTTTCCATTGCCAAGTCACAATATTTGTGATGGCTGATTGATTGTGTCAATTTGAGAAGTTTGGTTAAGAGAAGCTTAACTAAATCCACTCAGCAATTCCATACCCTAGGGTGTGGGAGATCCACCCCAGGGCAGCTCATCACCTAAATGGTATGAAGGGCAGATCTGCTTCTGTTCCTTCCAAGGAGCTCCAGTCTTTGCCTTGGTCGTCATCTCCTGGCTTCCAGTGCAGACTCTTTGGCTTCTGGCACATATCTTTTAGCCTTTCAGTGTAGATGTTTCAGCCTTCCATCATAGACTCTTCAGCCTTCCATTGCAGACTCATTGGCCTCCTGATACATACACTCACAGGACACTGCAGCAGTGAGCTCCAGACCTTCAACTAAATCCTTTGGTCTGCAGTGTGCAGACAAGACCCTCTGGACTCTTCCTCATCCAACCCTGTGGGTGGCCATTATAAGCCAATCTTGTAAATTCATATATGTTTGTGTGAGACCCAACTTAGCAACTTGGCAATACTAGCACCATGTTGAGAACATTCTCCTCCATTTTGCAAATGTGTGACTTTCAACTGCACTCTGTCTCCTGGGAGAAAACCCCACCCCTAACCAATGCATGTAACCACAGGGTAAAATAAACAGAAACTGTGTTTCAGGTGATCTGCAACAAACTGTTACCCAGGGGAATGGGAGGAACTAACTGTGCTTATCCTGGCCTCTATAACCAGTTTCTGCAACAATCCGTAACCCAGGGGAATGGGAGGAGGGACTCTTTTTCTGTGGTTTTTTTCCTTTAAATATGCAGTCCTCCTTTCAGTTAGGGCCTTTTGTCCTCCAACTTGGTTGCAGCGTACATGGGTCCTGGCCAGAAAATAAAGTTCTCCAGTAAGACCCCAGGACTGTGTCATGCTTTGGGAGTTTGTCGCGAATCTAATTCGGGGACGAGGTCCAAAATTTGTATATCTTGTGTTGCATTTGTTTCTCTAGTAAATACTGACTGTTACAATACTTGATACCCACAATTTAAGAGGAGAGGTTTAATTTGGCTCACAATTTCTGGGGATTTGGTCCATGGTTGGCTGGCTCTAAGGCAGAAACATGGCAGAAGGGCCTGGTAGAGCAAAAGTGCTCAGTTCATGGTGGCTGGGACACAAAGCAGAAAATAGTAGCAGAGAGGAAGAGGCCAGGGACCACATATAGTCCCCAAGGTCATGCCTCCATGACCTACCCAGACACACCCAGATGTGTGCTTTGCTGTTACCCTGAGCATTCTTAAACCAATCAAGCTGACCAGCTTAACTCTCACATAGTGACAGCTAATCTCAAATTTTTAAGTTTTAAAAAAAATTCATCCTTATTCAAGCTTTTAACAAAACATCCTTATCCAAGCCTTTAACATTAACAAAAGCAGGCCGGTGCAGCTTCCGCCCAGCAGCCCGGTGGACACTGCTGGCACGGGAATCACGAACTTCTGGTCACGGCCGCTGCACAAAAGCCTGGCGAACCTGGGAAGGGGAAGACAGAATTAGAAGATCATATGATGTTGGTGTAGGAGGATTTATCATGGTGACTTTAGGATGTTGGTTCCATTGCAGGTATAATTATGCAAAGGAAAGAATCCAGCAAAGAATTGCCAGAGAAGGAATAAAAAATAAGATTTTATATGAAAGCACCCACCTTGATCCTGAAAGAAAACAAACCAACAGCAACAACTGAGCAACTTGAACATGGAAAATGGAACTCTTGAAGTCAGTGTGAACAATGTTGGGGTCAACTACACAGAGCATTTTATACATACAAATAAAGTATGTTTAAACCATAAAAAAAAAAATTAACAAAAGCAAACATCAGGCCTGAATTATTATACCAGAATGATATTTTCTCAAGACCACAACCATGCTGCCCTTTCAATAGCCAGGAGATTATGTTTGTCACCAGCTCCTAAGAACAACCTTACTCCTGAGCAAAAATAGCACTGCAGGTATTGCAGGAGACACGCAGTTAAAAGTCACTTCTGCCCTCTTGGGCTTGCTAGTACAATCCCTGGCCCCAAGTGAGTAGCCAGTAATGACTACATATGGTGCTCACTACAGAAGTCACTAGGATATGCACAGGTGCTGCTTTGCTCCTCAGGGACATGTGGTAGGACTTCTATCCTCACCTCATTCCACACGGTGCACCTCAGAATCAGAGCACATCACGCTGCATTAAAACCACACTCTGGGAACACTATGTGCAGGGCTGTCTGGTGCCCACACAGAAAAAGCAGGACTTGCTCTTTCAGCTTGCATTTTTTCCAAAGTTGTCTCATGACTGCTAAGGACAGTATCAGACGTGAAAACTTGAAGTGGGAAAAAGGAAAGCTTTTGACTGTGTGAACTGAGCATCCCCAGCCCCCAAATCCTAAATCCAAAATGCTCCTAAATCTAAACATTTTTGCCCAAGACTTCATGTAACAGAGGAAAACTTCACATGTGACCTCATGTGGCAGGTCAAGGTCAAAATGCAAGTGCACTAAAAGTAATGTATGACATTACCTATAAGCTATTTTCATAAGGTGTATATAGAACATGAATGAATGCATAAATTTGGTATTTACACTTGGATTCAACTCCAAAGATACCTCATTAAGTATATGAAAATATTCCAAAATCTAAGCAAATCAAAATCCAAAACCCTGTATTCCCAAACATTCTGGATAAAGGATACTTCAATTGTATTCTTAAAACTACAAGACAGTAATTAAATTATAATTTTAATTAATTTTTAAATTAAAAATTAAAACTTTAGTCAAGTCCATATATTTAGAAAGAAAACTAAGATAAAGCCACACATGGACACACTATGGTGAAACTTCAGGGCTGAGAAGAAACTATCCAAAGCCAACCAGAAACAGAAGACACATTCTCCACCAAAAATAAAATGAAAGCTGTTCGTGAAAAGGACAGTTTGTGTTGACAACACTGTTGTTGAGCTACTTTCAGGCACAGTGTCTAACTCTCAATCAAAAATAACCAGTGAGCAGTCTAGCTTCAAATAGAAAAGTCGTTAGATCAAACTAACTCTTCTTCAGAAAATGACTATAAAATCTGGCAAAAGGCAAACTAAGCCACTGCAGAAGGTGTGTTAGAGGCCAAGCCCACGTTATCAGAGTCAGAGGGACACCTCTCTTTGGAAGATGAGGTCAGAGGGTGAAAGGCATATGTCCATGGCTTTTTTTTCTATAGCCATGTCCCATCTGCCACAGCTTTAGACATCAAAAAATTGTAGCTAATCTGCAAGAGGCATTAGAAGACAGAGTTAGGGTAGAGAAGATAGAAAAGTGTAAAATGCTGGAAGGGAGGGGCTAAGCCCTGAAGTCTTCCACCTCTGCTCTCCCAACCTTGGGCTGGCAGCTGCTTGTGAGGTTAACTCCCCAGCCCTCTGCCTTGCCCTAGGCAGACAGAGGAAGTCCTAGCAGGGACCTCAGTGGCCAAAATATGAAGCTTCAGAAGCCTCAGGGCATCTGGTCCTGCAGGACTCTGGGCAGCAGCATCGCTCTGCACTCACAGAAGAGGGCTCCTGCAGGCCAGGTCCTCAGAGGAACAGAGTTACCTGGGCTAGCTGCTTCCCACAGGAAAACCTGACTCATATGCGTGTGCATCTAGCACCCGTGCCCAGGAGAACAGAGGTGAAGGCCTGGCCTCTGCTCTCTCCCACAGATCTGGGTTGTTCCATTTGGCTGGATTCATTTAGGTCATTCCCACTCTCAGAGCTTCTTGGCCACATCAGGGACCCGGGGTTGTCCAGCTCACCAGGCCCAGAGAGGAGAAGCTGGACAGCTTTTCCACCAGCCCCAGGTTGCCAAGGCTGGGTGTGACCTTGGAGCTGGAGAGCAATGACCCTGCTTGCTTCCTTTGTATTCCTCATGCTCTCTGGGAGTCTTCTTCCAAGCCAGCCAGCCTGAAATCGTGTGGCTGTGTTCATCTGCAGAATAAAACAGAACTCTGTGGATAACGTGGTTGCGGCACAGGATACTTCCTCACCCCTTATTTCATCTGCTCTCAGACCCACCCACCCTCTCGTATCCCTGTTAAACCCTGAAATATTTAGGGTGAATGTGTGTAATCATATGATTTCTTGCCAAAAGATCCCATCTGAGTCTGTTTCTCAATTGCTTTGAAAATCTGGAGCACATTTCTCTGTTTGCCTTCTTCGGGGCTGGTGACTGATGATCTCTAAACAGAATTTACAGCATTCTCCACTTGAGATTAACAATATCAGTATCACTTTTTGTCTCCCAGCAGCTGCTGCCTTCAGCACTGATCCACTTTGCTCTATTTATTGTCTTACTGTTCGTAATGTTTGCCATCAATTATACCAGTTTCTCATACATTGCCCATGTACAATCCTCTATTATTTCAGCTTCTTGGCTGGTAGATCTGTTCATAAGAAAACTAGAAAGCTCCCAACAATGTGTCTGACTTGTACCTGCGGCCTCATCTTCACTTCCTGATGACACAGCTGTCTAAGGAAGTCACAGTGCTGGATGTGGAATGGGTTTCTGTGTGAGTGATGTCTGCCCATTTGGGGCTGAGATTTGATACTCATTGTCAAAGCCATTGTTAACTCAACTGGTGAGACAAGCCAACAAAGACAGACATCTCAATAAAAGTGAATAATGTCTTTATTTATGTTTTCAGAATGTCGTGAACTATTTAGCAAGTGTCAGGTGTGTGCTAAGCACTTTGCTAGGTGCCCAGGAAACAAAAACAAAAAGCAGGTGCAAAGGCTCACGGGAATAAAATCAGTGAACTGGAGATGCACAGACCCCTCCACTCCACTGAACCACAAAGGGCAGGGTGGAGATGCATGAGAAGGAGGGCAGGGGTGGGGAAGTCACCTTAAGGGTTCCACAAGTGCTGCCGATGGGCTCTTAGCATTGAGTGCCCACACAGGAGCACAAGGGTGACCAGCTTTCCTGTGAGAGGAGACTCTGGCCACAGTCCTGGGTGTGGCAGGAAGAAGAGCTCAGGGTAACAACTGCTGCCTTGTCCAGAGGAGAGAGGGAGAGGCCAGAGAACTGGGGACACCTGGGAGGTGACCAGACAAGTCACCAGGCTCTGTAGCCACCTGAGATGCCTGCAGCCAGGTATTAGGGGAAGAAGAGAAGCTCATTTTAACTCAGGGTGGGACATTCTGGGGCACGATGCTGGCACTGGCTTGGGTCTGGTCCTCATGGCAAGTGGCATGACTGCCCTAATTGTGATATAGGGCCTCTTAGCACTGTCACACTAGGCCCCAAGCTCCCAACAGGTGAACCCCTGGACACGAACCTCATCCAGCCACAGCACTGGAAGGACTAGGAGATCAGGTACTTAAAGTCAAATCCAGGGTGACATTCAAGTGCCTGGCATGAACAAGGAGAGATGGTGAAGCTCTTCATAGAAAGAGGGGATGGAGGAGAAGCGGCAGGGAACTGTCCTGGACTTCTCTGCCTCAGCGGCTTGCAGGGGGCACCAACACCATGGGAACTCAGGAGCTGCATCTGGGCAAAATGAAGACCAGGTAGAGATGGGCATGTGGGCAGCATGTGCAGTCCTAAGTGTGAGTGAAACTGGCCGACTGTGTAGAAGGACCAGGAGACAGGGTTGCACACAGCGTCCAGCCCTCACAGATGCCAACAGAGGAAGCCGGTCAAGGCCTGCAGGAGAGAGGGGACAGCGGCACAGACCTTGAAGAAAGTGTCGCAGACAGTTGTGCCTGGCGCCTGGTTTCACACGTCGCCACAACGGAACAACCTTGTTTCTCTCCTGTCTCATCCACCTTCTCCTCACAGATCCCCTGGAAGCAGATCACAGACATCACCATGTGTCACCTCCAACTGGGCAAGCGGGCAGCAGGACACCCAGGTCTCTTCTCAGCCATGACCTGGGTCTGCACGCTGGGTTGCCCTCTGCCACGCCTCTGCCTCCCTCCCTTTGTTCCTGTTCTCTCATGTAACTAGGGAGGGCCCAAGAGTTATTGTTTTCGTTCCTTTCTATGATTATGATTATTGTAGTACAAAGAGTTTTCGTGAATATGCTGGCAGAAGCAGAGGGGTACATAGCATCTTTGTTTTTCGGTCTGCAGAGTGCTCAAAACCTCATGGTGCTCTCTCAGATAGGCCTCTGCATTTTCTCTTTTTCATTGACAAGAGGTAATAATTGTGAATATTTATAGGGCATGATGGGATGTGTTGATCCACGAATGCATTGAAGAAAGATTCAGTCAAGCTGATTAACTTACCCCTCACCTTTTTTATGGTGAGAATGTTAAAGCTCCATCCTGTCAGTAATTTGAAATGTACAACATGCTGCTTTGGGCTGTGGTCTTCTGCTGCCTCCAGACCTCCTGTTTCCTTGCTCTCCCAGTCCCCACACCACTCTAACTGGATTCTTCTTTCCTTTCTCCTGAATGAGGCTCTCAGGTTTCCTCTTAGGAAGGGCCTGAGTTGTTGGTTGCAGAGTTACCAGCAGCTGGTGCAGCACCTCTTGGCAGACTACGTCAGGGCATCCTTAGCCAAATGTGGCAAAGCTCCCTCAGGTTCTGCTCAGCCTCCTGAACCCACAGCACTGCTGGAGGCCCAGGTGCTGGGGACTCAGGACATCACCAGCCCCCACCCTCCTCCTCCTTCTCTGCACAGCGCCAAAGCCACTCCGGGCCCACTGTAGGTGCACCAATCCCAGGGCAGCACTGGCCACTGGGCAGCACTGGGCACTCTTTCTGAGCAGCTGTCTGGCCTCTGGTTATGCTATCCAGGCACTTCTTGGTTTTCACAAGCAGATTCCAGATATTTCAAAGCTACCTGTCTGACCCATCATCCTCCCAGAACTCTCAGAAGAGGGGGTAAGTAGGAGACAGCAGTGTAAGAGGCAACAAGAACCAGTTAAGACAAGCATGGTAAGCGTCCTTCTCTTTGTAGCTCATACTTGTGTTAAACATCTTGCCCCACTTCCCCATTCCCCCACCAGTCTATGCCCTTTGAGGGAAGCTATTATATTTTATTCATGTTGTCTTCTCAGGACTGCATGAAACCCATTAGGCAGGAGAGAAACAATCAATCCAGTTGCACTGAATTAAAGCAATATTTCCCACTGGAAATTAAGCCTACCCACTCTTTTTTCCCTACTGGAGCTAGATAATTTTTTAGAAAATGAAAGACGTTTGCAGGTCAGATACATCGGTGGTTCCAAACACACATTCCTTTTCTGAAGGTAAAAGTGACTGTGTAATGGGCTAAGGAAACTTGAGATAAGGTAATTCAAGAATTAAAATTTAAGAGCCTCTCACTGATAACATTTGTTGATGGTTGCTCCTTATATCAGAAATAAAATTGGTGTAAAAATTTCCAAAATTGCATTGTTAAAACTCAGTGCAAAAATGCAAGCAGATGTTGCCACTGCTATGTTTAATTGCTACTTCCCAGTCTGCAAACTTGCCCTGCACCAACGATCTTAGTGGGGTTCGCAGTATCTACAAGAAGGAGGTGAGCAGGTGACACAAGCCACACTGACACCCAGAGTTACAAAGCTCCCTAGGAACCAGGTCTGGACTTAATCCGAGTTTTCAGGAGCCACTGACTGTCTAACACCTATTCACACAGCACCATCTCCTTCTGCTTCACCCGAGTCAGAAGTGCTTGGCAATCTGGAGAGAGAGAGGGCAGATCCAACCCGGTTCCCGTTAGGGGACAGGAGGCCCAATCCTCAGTCCCAGGTGCCAAGAGGAAGTGGCTCATTTTCCCTCTTCCAAGCTCTGCGTTATGTTTTTCCATTCATTCTGCCTAGCAAAGCTTTTGCTACCAAAGGTGACTTCTCAGAAAATCTTTGCAATGAAAATAATATCTACTGTCTTCTTCTCAAAATGAGCAAGATACCGCCATTTGCCCTACTGGTCACAAAACTGGAGACTTAGTAGCTGAGAAAAAGGCCAGGAACTATTGACTGGCAGGCAAAGGAGAATCTTCACCATCCATCATCCACCTCCCTTAGAGGAAGCTTCTCAGACTTGAAAGAACCAAGGATCCTGTTAAAATGCAGATTCTGATTTGGGGACCTGGTAAGGGCTGCAAGGCCACCATTCTCTCCATGTCCTGGGTAGTCAACCTATGGACCTGGCTCAGGGATGCAAGGCCATGCCAGCAGCTCTCATACTAAGCAGGGTTGGTGTCTCCATCTCTGGAGGCCTTGGTAACACAGCATTCTGCTTTTCACAGTTCCAGTTACCCACACTCATCTGTGGTCTGAAAATAGTAAGCGGAAAATTCCAGAAATAAACAATACATGAGCTTTAAATTGCTCACTTTCTGAGTAGGGTGATGAAGTCCCACCCCACCCAGGACGTGAATCGTGTCTTTGTCCAGCGTTTGCAGCCCCTGTGTGCCACCTGCCCATTAGTCACTTGGGTGTCATCTCGGTGACCAGAGGACCGAGGGGCTTTCACAGTGCTTGTGTTCAGGAGCCTTTATTTTACTTAATAATGACCTATTTTATTGTTCTATGAATAACTTTTCTGTTTTATTATTAAATATTCCTGCTATTCTTTCACATGCCAGATTTACAGGTTAAATCCTATCCTAGGAATGTATGTTCACGACGAAGCAGAGCCCCTTTGGGATTCAGTGCTACCTGAAGTTTCAGGGGTCCATCAGGGTCTGGGGGCATATCCTACACAGAGAAGGGGGACTTCTGTGCTCCAGTAGCAGAGCGCCCCGGCCTAGCTAATCCAGGCAGGTCAGGACGGAGTGAGCATTCGTGTTTATAAGCTCCAAGGCCATGCTGAGTCTGCTGGCCTAACAAATGGATTGATAATGTTTATGGGTAATTTGCATGCTCTTTTTAAGAGCTGAAAGTGGGAAAGTCTTAATATCCACACTAACTAAACTCAAGTTCATATACTACAGAAACTGGAAATGTGTGGAGTTTATCTTCATAATCTCACTAACTGTTGTGTCTTGGGGCCAGGCACTCATAGGGTGATATCAATTTCCTTAGGGTTGTCCATTAATAACTATTTATTTTTAACAGCTACAGTAACACATTTCACCCGTTAGTCTTCAGAGTCATTTCACCGGGTTGTTGACAGCTGGAGGGGAGACCAGACAGGCTACACAGTGTGCTGAGTGCTATTTCCCTACACTGCTGCAGGGGGCAGCAATGCTCCCTGCATATGTTACAACTGCTGCAGCAATAAGAAGTGAAATAGAGTATCAGTACCTAGTAACTGTTTGAACAAAACTGGGAAGTCTTCAGACGAACATAACACTTATAATGCATCCCGATTGACCAAATAACAGCTGCTTAGATGTCTTAACTCTGAAAGAAAACAAGGATGGAAAAAATAAATATTTTGGTAAGGAGTAGAACATGATGTGCAGTGTAAGTTGAGCAAGAAATGAGTCTTAAAATCTGTATGTCTTAGCAATCATCTTATTTAAAATAAATGTCACATTAACCCAATGGGAAGGATTAAAGATCTGTGTGTATATCATGTTGTGCAGATGGAGAACACCTACTGCGAGCAAGGCCTTTGCCTTTCTACCTGACCCGAACCTGACAGTCCCTGGGGCAACCCCTGTCCTCCAGCTGCTGTAGCCAAGGGTTGGCTGGTTTCTCCCACCCCATCCCACCTCTGGCTGGGGAAGAGGAAGCAGCCTTGCCTTCGCCTCCCTGTCACTAGAGGGTTTTTGTGCACTTTCTCCTGGCCACCCTGTGCCTCCTCCACGCCGCCTCAAGGAAAAGGTCCTGAGGACGATGCTGTGGACTGTGCTTCAGTGGTCACCTCCAGGTGACCTGCCTGGTTCCTGGTCCACCACCGATCTCCCAGCCACACTCTGTCACAGCCCATAAGGCATCCTCAGCATGAGGATGACCCCCTCCAGGGCCTGGTCCCTTTCTCACTCCCCTAGGCCTCCTGGCCATCAGAGCTGTGCTCTTCGGAATCTCAGCCTCAAGGTTCCCTCTGCCTTACCTCCCCTTTCCTAGAGGAGCACTTACAGGCCAACAGCTCTGCGACCCCACAGGGATCTGCGGTTCACAATGCTGGCTTTGTTCAGGGTTTGCTCTTCTTCCTGGAGTGCTGCACACCCACCGAGGGTTCCTGAGCCTGTGGTTGTGACCCCCTCCACACACATTCAGCACTTCACCCATTCTCCGCAGTCACAGACTTGGCAGCCTGGAACAGCCCTGAGCTCTGTTAACCCAGCCCCCAACCCTCCACCTGTGCCTATGTACCTGGACATCCTGGAGAAACCCCACCACAACCCAGGGCCCCAGGGGTGCCCACCGGCAACATTAGTCCCTCTGTCTTCTGCTCCAATCTCTCTCTCCTGCTGACCCCGCCCACTCCACGACCACTGGCCAGGACTGGCTCACAGCTCCCCCATCCACCCACCGAAGATGAACTGGCCCACTCCTCACAGGGGCTGGAATCCTCTTCCTCCCACTGCCTCCAGCAATTCCTCCCCAGCCTGCAGCTAGAAATCCCTGCTCTCCTGGAGTGCAGTCATCAGGACTCAGCCAGGGGTCATTCTTTGTCCAAAAAGAAAGAAAAGAAAGAAAGGGGGGGAGGAAGAAAGAAGAGAAGGAAGGATGAAGGGAGAGAACTGGGATGGGAGGGAGAGAGAGGAAAAGGAGGAGGAGAAGAAGGAGCAGAGAAACAACAACAACAAATAATGCTTCCCCACGTCCCCTCTCCTTCCAGCTTTCCCTGGCTTCCCTGGTGCCCCTTGAGGAACAAACAGCTTCTCCTCTAACCAGCCATGTCGTTTTGACATCCTCCCCTCTCCTTTTCCCTGGAAATCACTGCACTGGGGTTTTCACTCCCAGCACATGAAGTTCTTCCGTGACCTTCACACTGAACCCAAGCCCTGTTGGGTGTCCCAGGCAGCACAGAGCAGGACTGCTGGGGCCCAGGGAGCCCCTTAACACTCCTGCTCCACCTGCATCTAGGTCTCAGCTGCTGTGACCAAGTGCCAGAGTAAGCTGCTTGGACAACACTTCACTTCACCTGGTGCCAGACTCTGAAGTCCAAGGTCCAGGAGCTCACCTGCCCAGTTTCCAGCACAAGCCCCCTTCCTGTCTTGGGACTGTGATCTCCTTGCTGTGTCCTCCCAGAACTGAGACAGCACGCTGCTGCTGCTCTCTTCCTTCCTCTCTTCCTGCCCTCATGACCTCATCTGAGCCCAGCCTCCTTCAAACACCATCCCAGGGGTGCAGGCCCAACAAAGGAACTTAGCAGGACTCCAGCTTCAGTCCAGGGCACCCACGCACCTCCAAGTGGACTCACTCACTATCCCGTCTCCTTCCCACGCTGCCTTCTGTGGGCGCCAGGGGGCGGTGTCACCCACGCCCCTTAGGAGGCAGCCTGGTCCTAGGCCCAGAGAGCTAAAGAGCTCAGGGAGGCTGCCCCAGCCACAGCCAGCCACGCATGCTGCGAGTCCGAGGGCTCACAGTCCCTGCTGGGCTGACCAGGACCGGCTCCCACCTCAGCGTGCACCCTCCTCTCCCAGGGGTCCCCCACGTGGCCCTCTCAGCTTCCTCTCTGTTCTGCAAGTGCCCACCCCACCCTGTGGTTCCCTCTTCCAGCTCTAAGTTGGTATCTGCCTCTGGAGGATTCGAGCCACACACTCCCCTGATCACTAAACACAGACTGGCACCTGGCTTTCTCAGCTTTCAGTCTTTCTCCTCTGCCTCCTTTCTGAGGCCCCAGGGCACTTGTGTCCCACAGAACACAGCATCCTCCTTACAGGAGCACATCCTCACTGTAAGCTCGGACTCCCCACCTGGAAGTGCTGCGTCAATACTGATAGGTGGAGGAGTGGGGACACCTGCAGGTGATATTTCCATGAGTTGCTAAACATTTAATGACCAGCACAACCACTGCTGCTTATTTATCAGCATCAACTGGAGAATTTAAAAGCATACATCTTAATTAGTTTTCTGTTACTATAACAAAATACTCACCACTAGGTAATTCAGAAAGGATAGAAGTTTACTTGGCTCATGGTTCTGGCTCTGGAAGCCCAAGCACACAGGGCAGGCATCTGCCCAACATCCTGTGAGAGCCTCCTTGAATGCACAGAGAGATGGAGCAGCATGGCACCCAGGCCCCTTTCTCATCTCATGAAGCCACCAGTGCCATCATGAAGAGCCAGAGCTGATTCGGAACATGTAGAGTTATTAGTAAGAGATGCTCCCTGCTGGGTGTGGTCCATAAGGACAGATATAATAGTGAGTTTTGACTCTGCAAACTGCAGCTGCAGAATGCAACTGCGGGTGTGAGCAGTGAAGACATAACTGGAAGAATGGCTAAGTGGATACCCACGAAGTCATCTCGTCCCTCCTGGGTGAAAACTATGGAATAATCCAGGCTACTTGGAGGTCCTGACACTGCTCAAAATTTGCAAAAGTAAACATTACCCGATCCCTTTAATAGCCGCTGTGGCCAGCAAGAGGCCTGGACAAGGTTGGCATCTGACTGTGGCTAATCAGAGGTGAAGGTAGGGCATCTGTTGTTTGCTGCCATGCCTGACAGTCCCAGAATCCTGAGTCACACTGGAGAAAATTTCAGCACCCACTCTTCTGTGTGAGATTTAACAAATGCTTCTTGCAGTGTGTGCATTGATGGGAGAAGTCAGGGACTGTTTGCTTTCAGAGGGAAGGAGAACAGCAGATTCTCGTACCTTCTCCAGGCTGTTTGCATCTCCCCATGCAGGCCACAGAATGGTGGCACCAAATCTGGCTCAGTGGACAAAAAGAAAGACAATGTCAGCACTCCATCATATTTATGATGTAATGCTGGCCTCTGAGTCTTTTCCACAGACAAAAGCCAGAGGCAGCCCAAACAGTAGGGCACAGCTTCAGAGAGGACAAGCCATCCATACCTCCAAGTTGCAAGGCCCTGAGCTGGCAGTTGAGTACTTGGGGGTTACTTAACCGGGCAAGACAAAAGTGGCTCTGTTGCTGTTTCCCACCCATGCTACATCAAAACATTCTTCTTGGGAATGTGGGAGTGCTGACACCTTTTTATTCCACACTCAGCACAAATGCTAAGACCATTGTATTGTTTAGTGGAGTCCCTAGGCGCCTGAGCTCCTCCAGGCTTTTCCTCAAGCAAAAGTAGCTGAGAAACAATTCCAAGCCTCGATATTAGTCCAAGAACCACCCTATGAATTGGATCACTCTGGGGAAGGCCTATGGGAGCACCAACGCAGTAAGAGAATCCCCTAGGATTCTGGTCAGAGCTCTGGAAAGGAGCAGAAACATGGTACAGTGCCCGAGGAAACACCTATGCCCTATAAAAGTAGAGCCCATCACCAAGAACACCCCAGCATCACACACTCCACTTCTGGAGGGCAGGAGATGCTATTAAGGAGCCCTCATTCTGGGTCAGCACAGACAAGCACAGTGGCTAAGCATGCAGTGCATTGGTATGCAGCCTTCTATGTGCAGTTTCACACCTTCTGGGACCGGTCACGTGCACTGTGAAGACAAGGAAGCACTACATGATATCCTGCCACCTGCTGCTCTCCCAGCATCAGGAAAAGAAAGGGGAGCTATCAGAGTCTGCATAGTACATTGGACCCCTGAAATCTGTGGGGTTTACGTTCCTAGAGTACCCACGAATTGTGAAAAACGGCAAATTTTAGATAGGGCCAGAAAAATGCTTCTATACGCCTATTTTTTTTTTTTTTTTTTTTTTTTTTTGGTACTGCGATTGAACTCGGGTCTTTTTCCTTGCGCAGCAGGTGGCAAAACCACTGAGCTAATCCCCGGCCCAATATGCCTATTTTTATAGTTTAAACCCTAACTGTTATGTCTCCCACAGTTACGTAATTTACTTTAATAAAATACTGTATGAATAAAACCTTAGAAGGTGCAGGGCATTTTGGTGGCACCTTAGGCATCTTAAGGCTTTAAGAAAAACAACACTGAGAACACTTGAGAGAGCTACATGTGGTTCAGCAGCCTGTTAAGATGCGGGAAAGCTGGTGTATCTGCGGACATGGGTTACAGGGCAGCAACCAATCAGCAGCAAGGAGAACTGAATAACATTCTCGGATTGGCTACTGGCAAACCTCCCCCCCGCCCCGCAAAAATATTGTGGAGGATATTTGTAGTTTCCCCGAAATAGTGTGGATTTCTGGCGTTATTAGTTACGTTATAAGGAAAAATCCACGAATGACTGAGGTTGCAGACTTTGAACCGCAACTTCACAGGAGCATGCTCTCTACAGGTGGATCAGGCAGAGTCAGCAGTCCAAATTGGACAGCAGCAGTTATAGAACCTGCTACTTCCCCCTTTTGGCTCGGCCT